TGACTTACTCTGGCCTGTATTCTAGGATCAAGTGTGTTTGCTTAGCTGCAAGGTGGTCTTAAACCAGGCTGTCCTCTGGCTCGTGGAGCGGTGCCCTTCACTGGTGGCACTGACTTCATGCTCTTTCCCCATAGCCAGAACGGGTTTTTCTCATTCAACCACTCTCTCCTGCCTTCAGTCCAGAGCAGCATGATTTGGCCAAGTAAGCAGGAAATACGAAATTAGCTGGGTGTGGTGGCGTGCACCTGTAGTCCCAGCTACTTGGGAGGCTGAGGCAGGAGAATCGCACAAGCCCAGGAGGCAGAGGTTGCAGCAAGCCAAGATCATGCCACTGCACTCCAGCCTGGGTGACAGAGCAAAAAAAAAAAAAAAAAAAAAAGGCTAAGATGGTAAATTTTATGTTAGGTATATTTTTACCACAGTAAAATACTTATTTCAAAAGGATTTTTCCCACCCATCACTCTATCCCAAATTTCTGACCCCATTGTTTTTGTCCTCCACTGCTCATTTTAATTCATTTTGGGGGTTATTCACCACTAAGTTACTAATTTGTTGTAAATGCTAATGCATCTGTAAAATAAAAATGATTATATGTTAAGGAATAACACTTATTGATAATTAAGTGTTCTGTTGCTTCTTTGCTTTCCCCAAATGGAATAAATAAATATTTTAGACATAATCAAGTTTGTTTTCTGTGCTCGGGCCAAACAGACAGAGATGTTGAAATGATATAGGTCTTTAAAATACAGCAAATGAGTCTTGGCATCGCTGAATTGTTATGCATTCAGGGTACACAGGCTTGAAATCCAGGCTATCTCCTCTAATCAGGAAAATCATTTTTGTGATACTTGAATTTTGAGTCCTGTGGGGTTAGGAAAAGGACCAGCAGGGAGAATATCAGAGTCAGAATTTGAAATGATGCCCTGAGTCTTGCCCCGACCCTTCCCGGTGCAACAGTCTGCATTTTAATTCCTGTCTCCTAGCTCAGTCGCCCTTCTTCCCATCTCAGAGTGGGAAACTGGGGCATCAGACAGTCTGGAATGGTATGGAGGTGATTTGTGCAGTGGCCCAGGAAGGAGCTGGTTTGCAGCAGGAAAGCAGCTCCCATGGCAGGGAACTCAGCCATGGCCTGCCATGGTGACTTGACTTACTCTGGCCTGTATTCTAGGATCAAGTGTGTTTGCTTAGCTGCAAGGTGGTCTTAAACCAGGCTGTCCTCTGGCTCGTGGAGCGGTGCCCTTCACTGGTGGCACTGACTTCATGCTCTTTCCCCATAGCCAGAACGGGTTTTTCTCATTCAACCACTCTCTCCTGCCTTCAGTCCAGAGCAGCATGATTGGCCAAGTAAGCAGGCCTGGCAGGAGGAGGTCGTGTGCGGCCCCCCTGTGTGGGATATGGGGGTGGCTGAAACCTAGAACCTTGCTGTATTCGTTTTGTGTGGCTGCCATAACAAATTACCACAAACCTGGCGGCTTAAAACAACAGAAACTTCTTGTCTCACAATTCTGGAAGCCAGCGCTGCACTCCCTCCAAAGGTTCTGGGAGACAGTCGTTCCTTGCCTTCTGGAAGACCAGCTTCTCAAGGCTCCAGGTGTTCCTGGTTTGTGGCGGTACCACTCCATTCTCAGCCTACCTCTGTCTTCACATGGCCTTCTTCTCTTTCTCTGTGTCTCAAATATCCCCTGTTTGTCTTTTAAGGACACCTGTCATTGGATTTAGGGTCCACCCTAAATCCAGGATAATCTCTTCTCAAGATTCTTAATTAAATTACATTTGCAAAAGCTCTTTTTCCAAATAAGGTCACATTCATAAATTCCAGGGATTAGGACATGGATGTATGTTTGGAGGGCCACTATTCAACCTGCTACACTTGTCCTAATTAGCAGTGAGGTTCCTTGAAAACTGGCCTATCCTGGCTTGTTTTATTTGCAAGGTGCCTGGGCGTGGGGGCTGGAGCAGAGGGGTGACCTTCAAAGACAGATGAGACCCAGAGTGCCCTGCAGGCTGGAAGTGAGGAATGGGAGGGAGAGGCTCTCCCTGCGTGAGATCCTCTGACTCGTGCCTGTTTGTGAATTGTGCAAGCAGAGGGCCATTGCCTTGTTGATCTCGGCGTCCTTCACAATGCCTAGCACAGGTGGCAGCTGGTAAATGCAGAAGGAAGAGCGGAATCAGTCTTGAGGCAAAGCAGTGACTCAAGTGGATCAGCAAGATGCTCAGAACCTGGAGGAGCAGAAAAGGCTCATTCAGTCACTCACTCAGCGCTTAGTGTGTGTTAGGGACCCTGTTCCGTCCTGAGGACCCTCAGAGAACAAGACCCCAGCGTCACCCTCTTGCAGGGTGCTCTGGCTTGAAGTCACGCTGGCCAAATTCCGCGGCCTCTGCAGTGCCGCCCCTCCCTCCCTGTGGAATTTCAGGAGGGCGCTGGCTCTTAATCCATTCTCCTGGGGCCGGTTGGGATCTGGGCCCTAGGAGGGTGGGGGTGGGTGAAGGGGATTAACCAAAAAGATTAAGTCCCTGGCTGAGTGCTCCAGGGGTCCTTGACTGGGTGGGAGTTTTAACCTGATGTTTTTAAGGCTCCTCCCAACCCAGAATTCCTGACACGTACCCCGGTAGGGTGAGCTGAACGCCCGCAGGAAACTGAAAGCACTTAAAGCAGCGCTTGGGGAACAAATATGCCAAAGCCCAAAGAGAAGTGGCGTGGGGATGGTGTTGCTGCGGCTCTTCTCCAGCTCTGCAATGATCAGTGGGACCAAAGGCCAAGGAGAAGGAGATGCCCAAAGAGAGGGTATAGGATAGTGTTCCCAGTAGCTTTCTCTCAAAGGACCTGGTTTAGCGGGCAGGGCTGGTCAAAGGTTTTTTTTTTGGACGGCATTTCAAACAACGTATCATGTCGGATGTCTGCTTCAGGCCTCTGAGGTGACTGAGAACCTAGCTTTTACTGGGTGACACTGGGAGAAACTTGCCATCTTTGAGCCTCTCCAGCAGACACTCATGTCCACTTCATGGTATGTCTGATGCTGCCTTATGTATGCTGGGACTGTGTATACATACAACAGTGGACTGTGTATGCTGGGAGCATTGGCCCACTATTTGGTGTGTGGTGGTAGCAAATGGCATAATAAAGATCGCGATTGCTGTTGTTTCGTGGTCCTAGCCTTCTGTTTTACTGGAAATGGTTTGAGAGCAGAGAGTAGCCTTTTTTATTTTCGTACCGAGGAATCTGCTAGTCCCTGCAGGAGCTATGCCAAAGGAGCTCCACCTATCAGCTCTCCGTTTCCTGGTGTTCCTTAGAAGAAGGTGGTGTTAGAGTTGGATGCAGGAGAGTCAGAAGGGACCCGAGAAATTCCCTCTCCGTCCTGTGTTGCAGAGATCCAAAATAGACAGAGAGCTTGAAAAGGAAGCATCTGTATTTTACTCATTGACTGGAAACACAATTATCATAATATAATTGTGATAGAACAGCCATTCAGTTTTTGTCTTCCTGCTTGTTGTGTCTAGCTTAGTGTTCAGCCAGGTTCGTACCTTTCGGGAGAAGAGTGTCTTAGTTGGGGCGGCTATAAGGAAGTACCAAGGTCTATGAAAAACAGTGTATTTCTCACAGTTCTGGAAGCTGGCCGTCTAAGAGCAGAGTGCCAGCCCGGTCAGTTCTGGGAGGGGCCCCCTTCCTGTGTACAGACAGCTGCCTTCCTATTGCATCCTCACATGGTAGAGAGAAAAAACAAGCTTTCTAGTGTCTTTCTGTAAGGGCACTAATTCCATTTATGAGGGCCCCATCCTCACAATCTCATCACCTCCCAAAGGCCTGAACTCTTAATACCATCACATTGGGAGTTTGGATTTCAACATGAATCTGGGTGGGGGATGTGGGGGGCAGTGGGGGGTGGCCACAGACATTCAGATGGCAGCAGACAGCCTTGCGAATCCTGATTTGGGTTGTGACAGGAGGTGTGAAACCCAGGGTCCAGTTCTACCACCTTCATTTGCAGATGCAAAAGTTGAGGCTCAGAGAGGGGAAGGGGCTTCCCCAGACTAAACCTAAAGTAGATGCACAGTGAGAACTGGAAGCCAGGTCTCAGTCTCCCCATCGGTGTGTCTGCCCCCACTGCCTGTGCTCCCTCGCCATGTTAGTGCTACCACGTGGCAGCTGCATCCCATCCAAGGAGGGTGCAACCCTGCGTGGGGCCACGTGGTAAAGCAGCACTTACTGAGTGGGGTCACAGATGGGGCCACATGCTGGAAACGCTGCCGGAGGCGGGAGGAGAAGAAAGAAAGGGGCAGGAGGGTAGGGAGAGGAACTGAGGATACTGAGCAGCAGTCGCCTGCCAAAATTCTTCAGTGCAGCTTGTCTAGCAAAGCCAGTCTCCAGCCGAGTAAATACAGTGGATAGCTGACGGGCTGACAGCAGGCATCAAACAGTCTTAAACTGCCCCAAATCCACGGCGCTTTTGAAGCAGCAGTAGAAAAAGGATGCCTGTGCGGAACAGAGGCCTGAAACTTTTAATAGTTTCTTCCAGGCCTCAGGATGTCCTGATGAGGTATTAGAGGAAGTAATTCAGGAAGAAAAGGACAAATAACCGCCTCCGTCTGGAGGCCGACCCGAGGGCTGGCCAGGGCTGCTCGCGGAAAGGGCAAGCGTGGCCCCGCAGTGATCCACGAGGCTCTCGTTAGCCCACCCGCCTGCTGCGGTGCACAGAGCCGCGGGGCTCTGACCCTTGTAAATAACAGACAAGTAAATTTCTTGTTTGCTTCGGGGCAAATGTAAACCACACAGTGCCCGCTGCTTGTGGGTGAAATCATTAACTTTTCCTCGCTGTCGGAAGGGTGCTCCGTACAAATTAGAAATCATTGCCTCCAACCTCAAGGCCCTCCCAAGGATCCGCCCACCTACCCCCAGACCGGGAGGCTGTCAAGACCTCAGGATGTCAGAGAAAAACGTGGGCCTGCCAGAACTGAACTCACCCCACCTCTCTTTGTTTTTTCTTCTCTCTCTTTTCCTTTAGGGTTTGGCTTTGTCACTTTTGAGAATGAAGATGTTGTGGAGAAAGTCTGTGAGATTCATTTCCATGAAATCAATAATAAAATGGTAAGTGTGTAGGGGTTGTGCTGAAATGGAACGCCCCCTTCCTCTACGTACACACCCCGTCTTGCAGACTGCTCCAGCCCACATCGGGCTGGGCTGGGCTGGGCAGGGGTGGGGAGGGGCTAGATGCTCGGGGTCTGGTTCTGTGAACAGTAGCAGTTGTTTCATACTGAGGTGGACAAACTCTATAAAGGGCCAAGTCGTGAATATTTTCATCTTTGCAGGCCATACAGCTGACTGCAACTACCCAGTTCTGCTGAGTAGAGTCCATAGGCAATGCATACATGAAGGAGTGGGGCTGTGTTTCAATAAAGCTTTGTTTATGGACACCAAAATTTGAACTTTATATACTTTTCACAGGTCACAAAATGTTAATTTTTTAACCACTTAAAATGTAAAAACCAGGCCAAGCATGGTGGCTCACACCTATAGTTTCTGCACTTTAGAAGGCTAAGGCAGGAAAATCACTTGAGGCCAGGAGTTCAAGACCAGCCTGGGAAACATAGCCAGACCTCATCTCTTAAAAAAAAAAAAAAATTAGTGGGCCGCAGTGTGCCTGTGGCCCCACCTACTCGGGAGGCTGAGGTGGGAGGATCCCCTGACCCTGGGAGGTTGAGGCTGCAGCGAGCCATGATCACACCACCGCACTCCAACCTGGGCAACAAAGCGAAACCCTGTCTCAAAAAAATAAAAATAAAATAAAAAGTTAAAAACCATTCTTAATTCTTGGACTTTACAAAAACAGGCAGAGGGGCTGGATTTGACCTATGAGTCGTAACTTGCTGACACCTGGCTTAGGATATTCTTTTGCTGTGCAGCTTTTGAGGGGTATATCCTAGATAGGAAGTTTACTGCACCAAACTGTTTTTCTCTTTGGGTCCTGCTGGAAAATTAACATTCCCTCCCTTGCCATCAATTAATTTCTGCCCTCTTGATCAGCTGCTTCCTTCCCTCTCTTTGGCTCTTTAAAGTTCTTTTTTCTGCCACAGCAGCCTCAAAAGAAAGGAAGGTTGGATTACTGGAAGTTTGGGAAGTCATGTAGGCCTCCCAGATCACTGGCCACCAGAGGGTGCCATATCATGCATAGCATTTGCGCACTCAAAGTCTCAAACTCCTTTCTTCAGATTGAGTGGGGGGTGAAAATTCCCTTCTTTGTTGGCTCCAGAAAAACAGAAGCTCAGCAGGTGTTTCTGGAACCATCAGCAGGTCCTTCGGAGCAAAAACATTTTGGTTGGCTATGAGAACCTCCAGCCTCAAGAGAAGAGGGAGGGCAAATTTGTGTTTCAATTGCCGCTGTAACTTTAATATTTTCTTCCTTTTGTCAAAACATTTCTTGCTTCTGAAACATGCATTCAGACATGCATTGTATATTGGTCTGATATGTGTTCACCAACTTTAAATTCAATAATAGAGCTTTTAGTGTGGATAAGATCAAAGCAATCTGCTTAGCATGTGGTGCTACAGGCCTGATTCAATATTTGACTTGCTAATTTTTTCCCAGGGCACTAAAATAATATTGTTCATATTGTTCCTTGCCATCATATGCATCTGAAATGAAAATACTCCTTTTTTGCATACTGTATGTTGGAGGCATCAGCTCAGACATTAAAATGGTAGGAGGGAGATAAGTGTGTAGGAATAACACAGGTCCCCTCATAGGCTTTCTCTGCTCCCCAACTGTCAGCGCAAGTTTACAGTTGGTACTTTTATCTTGGTAGGCTACCACTTGGTATTTTTATTTTTATTTTTATTTTTTTAATTGAGACAGAGTCTTGCTCTGTTGTCCTGGCTGGAGTGCAGTGGTATGATCTCGGCTCACTGCAACCTCTGCCTCCCAGGCTCAAGCAATTCTCCTGCCTCGGCCTCCCAAGTAGCTGGGATTACAGGTGTGCACCACCATACCCAGCTAATTTTTGTATTTCTGGTAGACGGGGTTTCACTGTGTTGGCCAGGCTGACCTCAAACTCCTGACATCAAGTGATCCACCTGCCTCGGCCTCCCAAAGTGCTGGGATTACAGGCATAAGCCACTGCGCCTGACCAGTATTAGCTGTTTTTAAAATGAGAGAGACAGAGGACTTAAATGAAACTTGCATCCAGTCCCGGATACCTTGTTTATCCTAGCCAGAGCGCGCCATTGACAGGCTCCACTAAGGCTGCTGGGCAGTGGGCAGTGGGGAATCGAAGAGGCAGCAGATGCCATTCCTGTCCTGCCAAGGCTTAAGGGTTCATCAGGAGAGGCCAGATGTAGACCAGAAAGACGTTGCTCCGTGTGTCACCTTGAATGCGTATGTGTAGCCCTTCACTGTTGACAGGCTTTGAAATGAACCTGAGACACAGATGGGGAAAGGTTTTATCTTGGGAAACTGAGCCTCAGGGGATAGGTCCCAGGCTACCCAGAGAGTGAAGGAGCATAGGTCTTGAGCTTACTGGTGCCAAAGGAACTGTATAGACAGTTGTTGGAGCTTGGGGGTGGGAGGGTGAATCCCCAGATGACCCGGGCAGCAATCAGGAAGTAGAGCTTCTGCCCCAGAAAAAGAACCCATGGGGGCTGGCTTGAAGCCAAAGAAGTTTGCAGCCATTTTCCCATTTCATGTTTATCGCCTTCTCTCCCACCCAGGTGGAGGTTGACTATGTCAGGTGCACGTAACCGGGTTTTTAGTGCAAGGGTTTGTGTTTGCCTTTGAATCTGGGGCTAGTACTTGTTCTTCAGGAGAATGAGTAAAGATGGAAGTAGACAAGAGGAAGAAGTGGGGGCAGAGTGATTAGGATCACAGGCTTTGGAGGTGTTGGTCCATGTTCCCAGCACAGCCCAACAGTTGTGAGCTCCAAGGTGGGGAGTTTAGAGGCCCTGCGAGAGGACTTTGGAGGAGAACTCTGGGCCTTGCTGAGCTCCAGTAAGACAGGGCTGGTAATGATATTGCCTCACTGGGTTGTTAGAGACTGGGTGACATACCATGAGCAAAGGGCTTAGCACAGTGTCTGCACAGGGTGCAAGCTTGATCCGTGTTAGCTCTTGCCATCATCCTTGCCATCATCCATGTGCTGTCATTGAGAGGTATTTCTCCAGCCAGTTCCCCTCCTCTGAAGAAGGATGGAATTTAAAGGGTGTTGGAAGAGAAGCCTGAATCCTGAATTGTTTTGGTTTTTGTGATACTGGTTTCTACTTCTGAGGCCCAAAGAAAGGGAAATGAGTTTAAACTGGTCTGTGGACAGAATTCAAATGAGATATCCAGAAAAACTGAAAACTCGAAGACTGCCAAGCAGGAACACAGATGATTGTTAGAACGTGTATAGGAGTGTTTCATAAACAGGACTGTGCTGTGAAACCACAGACCCATCTCCTCAAACCCTCGCGATCTTTCTGGGCATTTGGCAGAAAGTGGCAGATAGCTGCCCCTCCCGGTACATACTGGAGCCATGAGTTTTTGATATTCGCAGATAGGAAAGGTCTTAGTGCAGATTAGTCACAGACATAGGACTGGAGTCCAGGTCTTCTGATTCAATCTCTGTGCCTGGCACTTAGGAGACCCTGTATAAATAATTGTGGACTAAATAAAGGATTCACTGAAGGACCACATGTCTGTGAGGCACTTTATAGTTCCTAAAGCCATCTCCCATCTAATTGGGTTGGGGAGTCGCTTCCTGGGCATTTTTTTAAATGGAGGTCCTTCTCTACCATGCAGAAGGGCCAGGAGCGGGAATGAGTCGTTCTACTCTGCAGGGGACCAGGATAACAGTCTTTGGAAAGTGGGGATCACAGGAACCCTTCCCTTCACTCCCCATGTAGGCCCTGCCTTAAGGAGGTCATCTCCAGAGGCGGCGGCAGGAGGATGCCCAGAAAGACCCCACATGACACCCTTTTGCACATAAAGATCCCACAAGTAGCTGACATTGCGTGGTACAAACTACGTACTCTGCTAAACACTTTATGCATCATGCATCTTATTTCATTTGATTTTCACTTACTCTTCAATCATTATACGCATTTACAGATTGGCAAGGCGAGGCAGAGAGAAGTTAAGCAGTTTGCCCAAGGTCACATGGTCAGCAAATGGCAGCCCCAGAATTCAAGCCCAGAAAGCTATACTCCAGAGCTCATGTTTGTACCTATCAGGCTGTGTGCCCTCTTCAGGCCAAAAGGGACTTTCAAGGCTCTCTGGCTGGGCTGCAGGCCCTCCGCCACTGACCGCCCTTTCCCAGTCAGCTCTGTTGTGGCCTATGCGGTTCCACGTTATCCTAGTAGAAGAGCGGAGGAGACAAGCCAGATTCCCAGCTAGGGAGAAGAACCACGCTTGGGTTTTACAGGTCCCAGATCTCCATGCCTCTTCCTCCACTGCCACAAGCACAGATAAGTGACAAGCATGGGCCAGGAGTTGACTGCCATCCAAGCTCAGGGCCAAACCCACAAGCTCTCCAAGCCAGAGTGAAATGCAAATGTGGCTCTTTATCAATAAACACACACAAATGCATGCACAGAGCCGCCTCGTGACCCGCTAGAGAGGGGCTCCTCCCTGGCTACTCTGTGTGCCCCAGTGCGGGTGCAGCTAATGATGCCTCCCGTAGCGTCCCCCTGATTGAAGCAGCCCCTGAGCAGCAGCGACACTTGCTTGATGAGTCGCCAGAGCCCAGCCTTCAAGCGGCCTCCTGACGAGCCGGGCAGCAGCAGGAAGGGAGGTGAGAATTGACAAGAGCCACCTCCAGGCATCCGCAGAGGCCTAGTACAGCCTAGAACTTGAAATGATGTTGGGGAGCCATCACCACCCTCGTTGGGTGAGAGCGTGGGTACAGCCTGAAAGATGCTTGGGACGAGGGCATCTTGAGTAGAGCATTTCCTCACACCTGATTCAACAGGAAGGAATCGGTGCTTATAGGCACTGGGACCGTGCTTTACGTGCGCACTGTCTCCTTTTGTCTTCACATCATCCTGAGCTGGGGTCCTCATCTCATTTTACAGAGGGGTTCACTAGAGCTCAGTAGCAGTGGATCTCCTGTGGTGGGACA